TTTTCGTTTGATTCCATAGGCATATTTTAATATTATTTATTTAGCTGAACATGATCGTTCTGCTTGTAGATATGGAGCCAGCAGGACAGGCAGTGTATACTGGATGTCTTGCGCAGCTCCTGTTGGAGAAGGATACACTCTCCTCATTGCTCGTACTACGTTCACTGATCCTGGACCTGTTGGAGAGGAATGCTGCGAGATGGAGGAATCAAAGTAGACATCCGGCTGAATCATGACCTCCACGAGCGTTTGTGTGTGACTCTAAGCAAACTTCTCAGCATCAGTCCAGATGCTCAAGCGTAAGTAATTCTTCAGAATTTATCCACAGGTTTCCATTTATCATGGAAAACCTGGAAATAGCAGGTCATTTTAAAGCATGGGAAATTAGTGGCCATAATACAATTTGTTTAGAGTATTTGGAGTATTTGTTTATTTGTGAACAAACAAATTGTGAACAACCTTTTAAATTTGTTAAGCCGTTTTATTAGTCTAAATTATTTGTTAGCAAATTTGTCTGAATGACTTTAAAATCATAAATCATATTTAAAGATCATGGGAATTCATTAGTCAAAAAGTATGAAATGATGGATAACAGATGTTGTTGTTAACACCTCAGAACAAATGTCCAGGATGGCATGAACAAGTTTGAATTGTTTTCTCACAGGTTCGCAGCAAGGTATTTCAGCAGCTCTCCCCAGTATTTCAGAGGCTGTTCTTCACCAGTGAAGAGGCTGCCTCCATCCAGTATGGGCCCAGACGGATGAAACTACGGGACCTGATGGGGGCCACCCTCCGCTTCCTCCAGAGCGATTGTGAGAAGTTCCGTGTCCTGTGGGACTGGAGTGCCTGTGTTTCGCAACTTCTCACCAGTGACGTCATTGTCAGAAGGTATTGCAATGAGTAGATCAGTCACAAGCTCTCGCCAGAATATAAATATCTATTTGCTAAAAAAAATAATAATAATAATTTTGTGTGTTTTTAAGCTACACTGCCCAGTGCCTTGCCCTGGTGTCCCACATGACAGACAACCAGAAAACAATATTTCTAAGGAAGGTTCTTTCAAGTGAAGAGATTATGCATTTGAAAATGAAGTAAGTTTTTTTCGAATTGTTCAGAAGATACTCACTTGTGTTAACTCAAACAACATTACAGTATCACATCTTTGTAGATCACTTGAGGAGACACAGCAGCTGGAAGTAGAAAAGGCTCTAGTTTTGGCCAATCAGGGCTCAGCAATATGGCGAAAAGAGAGAGTTAAAAAGATCACCCGTGGTCAGGTGG